ATCAGTGCGTAATCGCTGATTGACAGTGAGTTTCACTGATTCACTTTGACAGAATTTTGAGGGAGTAACGGGAAGCTTGGATTAAATATGTCTTCCCATGAGAACTGCTCTGAATGCGCAATTATTTCGCAAAGTTTGAAAAACCCCGGACGAGTTCGAACAGATTAGCAGACCTCTTGACCTGAAGTTGAAAAATTTTCTTAAGCTCAGAATGGGTATATAATTTTCACATTCCTGACCGAGTCAGGAATTTTCGTCTGGTCGACAGAAAATGAGTCGTCGGTTGAATCCGACAGTCGCACGAAACGACAAACGACTCGATTCAGGATTCACATTCGTAGAAACGTAGAAAATTTCATTTCGGAAAAATGATTCAGGCTCGGGAATTCATCACACGAGCGAAAAGTCGCTGGATTTCACTGTATCGCGCATTTTCAGTGAAATTTCACTCGACCAAGTTCAAGAAGCTCTCGAATCCAGCCAGATCTCAAATATACGACACGAGTACAAACTATAAATGTTCATTCCACTCGAAACTTCTTGGTGCGAAATCTCACTCAGGACTCGAGTGAAACCCCCCCCCCCCATCGAGGAGAGACAATGAGAAGGAGTTTTTTTTTCTCCCCGCGTACATGCACACATAGTGGTGGAAGGCTGCTCCTATAAATTATGAGTCCCAGCGAAGCTGGGTAGCCTGTAATTATGCAAATCTAGCCGAACTCTCGGCTGCGCGCGATCTCGGCGTCGCGGCGGCTCTGCGCGGGTTCACTCTCGTTCTCGCGTCGCTCCGCAAAGCCTTTTCCGCTCGCGGGCTCTCTCATAGCCGAAGGTACATACATTAGACGATCACCCGAAAGAAGTCTAATCCCGCGTTTTACGACGCTGCGACTCCGAGTTATTATTGTCACCTATGACTCCCCCGGCCGTGCGCGCACACGTGTGCGCATAAGCGCGGATAAGCGCTAATACGCGCGCGCTCTCCTGCGAAACGCGGACGCGGATCTCACGCATGGCGAGAGCGCGTTCAGCGAGTACAGAAGAGAGAGAGAGGGGGGGGGAGGGGGGAAGAGCAGAGAAGCCGCGGCTATGTGTGAATATAAATTAGGCGCGTCAGAGTTCGCATATATAAAACGTTCAAATGCACGAGAGAGCGTCATCGATACGGCGCGCGCATCTCGCCTCGGCTTCGCTCTCCCGCTCTCTCGCTCTCTCGCTTTCACTCGCGCTATCCGCACGGGCCGCTAATCGGATTTGCAGTGTTGTCGCAACAAACAGTTGTCGCGATTACATCGTGAAAATCGCGATCCGCGAGATATGAAACTGTCGCAGCGCGAGAGGAGACGTCGATGGCGTGCGCGTGTTCGCGCTCCTCGCGCGTCGCTCTCGCTCTCCCCCTCGCCCTCTCCCTCGGTCTCCGCTTCCGCGATTTACCGAAGGCGCGTATCCAGTTGCAGACTCGCGCGGGCCGGGTAAGCGATCCGGCAGGCAGCTGGTCAAGCGCAAAGGCACCCCGCCGAGAGAGCGAACGTAACGACGAGAGAGAACGAGCGGCGCAGCCAACGGCAACGCTCCCCGACGAGACGAACGATACGCGCTCCTTTTCAACACAATGGTGACACACGCGTGTCCGTGTTCCGCGCTCTGTACTCGTCGTCGTCGTCGTCGTCGTCGTCGTCGTCGGGCTGTGTGTCGCGTCGCATCGCGCCGCGTCGCCGACGCGCAGCGCGTGTAAACGCGTGTTCTCGCCTCGGCACCTCTCACGTCGCGCATGAACACATTCCCCCAAATCGGGGGGATGATGCGCATCGGGACCGGGAGGGAACGGGGCGCGCCCAGATGGGAGGAAGTACAATGGCCGTGCGAGTAACCAGTCGCAGCCGAATCTCTCTCTCTCTCTCTCTCTCTCTCTTTCTCTCTCTCGGTCATTATGTTACCGGTCTCGTTACGGTGAAGCTCTCGGATGTTCTCCGCAGCCTCCCCTCCCCCTCCTCCCCCCGCTATTCTCCGCCGGTGTTCGTGTCATTGGTGATATGAGCGCGCTACTCTTCTCCCCTCCGTTGACGCTTCGGATTTTTCGGCGCTCCAACACCTGTATACTGCTTCAAATCCGTTGGGAGAATTGTTTGGTTGTTTGTCTGTCGAGTCGAGGAGCGAAGTTGATCGTTTGAGCCACTCGCGAGATTCCTCGGGGCGAAATTCCACTCGAGAAGTACAGCCGCGTTGAGCTATCGAGTCGAGGGAGACTGTTCTCTCGTTCGTGTAGAGAGCGAGTGTGTGCCTCCATTTTGAATGGCCGAAAGCGGAAATTGGAAAGTGAAAATTCACTGGGAAGTGGAAGGGTTCGGCCGTATCGCTTTGAATTGCCTATTCGCTTCGAAATTCAAGAGCCTGATATAACCGTATAACAGCTGCTTTTTATTGGAATGAATATATTCTAATTGGAAGTCGCTCATACTACGCTCCGAGTTGAACGCTCATTATTGCTCTTGCGACTCCGACTGACGATACTTTTGTCGAAATGAGATTTCACACATCGAGAAATTTAGAGTACTTTCAAACGAGTAGAACGAATCTTTAATTTATACTCATACCGTATTTGTAATCCGTGCTTCGTGCAAGTTTCTTCGAATGCAATTTCGCTCAAAATCAGATACAGTTCGAAGCCGAGTAACTTTTCACTCGTACAATTTCGTGTCTCAATTTTTAATCGTCGAATGAGCATCTATTCTTAAACGTTTACTCTCATATTGAACAAATGTAAATTTTTTAAATAGGGCAATTTTCTGAAATGTATGAAATTAGGGACTCTTCCTACATGCTGAAGTAATCTCACTGTCTACTAATTGTTGGGATGATTATCGCTGGTATGTGTATAAGCACTCGCTTTGAAAGAGACCGAGAGAGAGAGAGAGAGAGAGAGAGAGAGAGAGAGAGAGAGGGAGGCAGGGAGAGGCATTGGACGGAAAGGAAAGAATAAAAATTCGCGTAAGCACTCGAAGACACGATACATCTTAAGTTGAATCGTGAGTGTAAATAAGTATATCAGCGTTGTTACATTTCGGAGCAACCTTGCATTAATTCGTGCGAAATTGGCGGTGATTACACAATACCACGTCGTCGGTTGAGATCACACACGTTACGCTTGCTTCGAGCTTGCTTACGCTTCGAGCGTCGAAGGATATTCGATCGTGTAATCGTAATCGTTTTCTTAAAGAGTGTAACGGAATCGTGAATGGTAATTCTACATTTATTCACAATGCATATACATGTGTGGAAGTATGTATATTTTTCCAAATTTGTCCGTTCAGCGACTCCTCTTTCTCTGAGCCGTTTTCTATCCCGATATTTATTTTTGGGAAATTTATATATTTATATGATTTTTATAAAATTCTTATACAAATAAAATTGCATCCCGTTGCACAGTGAGGTGCGTTAACGCGTACTCATTTGAGTACAACAAGAGCATAGCTCGAGCGGATGGATACTATGTATCCGTACGTGCTAGTATATTTCCGCGTTAATAGTTTCTCCTCAGAGCAATTTCGCAAATTTCGACAAAATCATCGCTCGCATTTTGCGATATTGTCTCACGACCGGATCCGGAAAACCGTTCCGCTTTCCGAATCCGCAGATTTCGATTTGTCGGGACGATTCGTGTTTACCGTCGCTCCGAGCAAAGAACCTCAGCAAAAAATGCCCGTTTTTCAATCCCCGATTTTTACATTAAATTAAATTCAAAGCGAAATGATAGCTCACGATAAGACATTAATCACAAGAAAGTATTACATTGAGCATATAGAGGGTCAAAGTGGTCACTACCTACTAAGGAAGTTTGACACTAATAACGTTTTGTCGCACGAATTTTTGCGAAATTCAGTATCTATGGGTTCTTTGAGTTGCTTATTACAAATTCGATGTCAGATTTAAAAAATTCAAGATGGCGGATGTAATGTAGCGGACACAAATAGTGAAACAATTATTTACTTTTATTAGAACTGTTATGTTGTGGTTTTTTGGCTAGCTGATTGCGAATTTTCTATCAGATTTACATTTATCTTCAGTATCAGGCAAGATGAAAAAGTTATCCAGCCAATGAAGGCAAGATAAAAATGTTATCCAGCCGGTGAAGGCAAGATGAAAATGTTATCCAGCCAGTGAAGGCAAGATGAAAATGTTATCCAGCCAGTGAAGGCAAGATGAAAAAATTATCCAGCCAATGCAGGCAAGATAAGCTTCTAAACATAACAAATAAAATTATCACGTTATCCTTCATGCGTCATGTAACGTATCAATTTGAATTTGATATCTTTTTTATGAAAAAATAATAAGAAAAATACTTTTCCCACTCAAAAGTTGTCGTTGAAAAAATTACTTTCGTGAACCTAATAGAAAATTCGCAATCAGCTAGCCAAAGAAACCACAACACAGCTCCAATAAAAGTAAATGATTGTTTCACAATGTGCGTCTGCCATGTTGCAGCTGCCTGATCTTGAATTTTTAAAATCTGACATCAGATTCATAATCAGCAACTCAAAGAACTCATAGATACCGAATTTTGCAAAAGTTCCTGCGACAAAGCGTTACTTATTAGTGTCATACTTTCTTAGTAGGTAGTGACCACTTTGACCCTCTACATCTTTGGAACCAATCGTATGCTCGTACGTAAAACTTTTCTGTAATTAATGTCTCGCGATGAACTATCTTTTGGCATAAAATTCGATTCCAAAATCGAGGACCGAGAAACGGGCAAAACCCTTTTCACGGAGGAGGTTCTTCCCACTCATGCTGTGCGACACTTGAGTTCACTCGAAGGGATTTTTATACAGGCCTCACCATACAATAGACGCGTGCGTGAGATACATATTCCTTACCGCCTCGCGCGACTTCCAGGACAGACTCGAAGCTACTTACGCGTATCCACCTAGCAGTCTATCGAAATACCTCCATATCTATTCGTCGAAATTGATCGAAATATCTGGAGCTGTTGTTTGTTTACGCAGACGGAAGTCGAGGACACGAGCGGCGACGGAGCGTGCGACGGCGCCGGCGGCGGTCCCAATCTCGCCTGTCCCGAAAGCACGAGCGGCCTGGTCGTCGGCCCGGAAACGTCACCCAGCGTAATGGAGTGCGGTGGTTGCGGCGAGCGCGTACGCGAGCGGATCGTGCTGTGCGTGGGCGGACGTACGTGGCACTCCAGGTGCCTGAGGTGTTGCGCCTGTGCCAGGCCGTTGCACGATCAGCACTCCTGCTTCCTGAAAGGCATGCGGCTCTACTGCAGGCACGACTACGCCCTGTAAGTCGAAGCCGGCCGATTGGCACTTTTCTACCCAAATAATACAGCCGAGCCTTGTGCTCGGAGGAGCTCGTCGTCGCCTGACGATCTCGCGAACGTGACCGATCGATTGCGCGCGCGCGCGCGCGTCAACAGCGGACGGGTAGAGAGAGAGAGAGAGAGAGAGAGGTGAGGGAGGAGGGAGGAGGGAGGGAGGGAGGGAAGGAGGGAGGGAGGGAGGGAGCAGCAGAAAGAAAATATAGTCCTCTCTTTTTGTTCGCATTATCGAATGAATAAGTGGAATATTTTTGTTGCGCGCGCGCGATGCGCATCGATAGCGATGTAAGACGTACGGCCGTGGAGATCAAAGTCGAAGGAACCCGCGGTGACTCGTCGAATGTACGGAAGGCTTCAGCCGAAGTCTGCCCAATGTGTTTATCCAACTGTCAATCAGTTACCTCAGTCACCTGGGTTTTACGCCAGCCGAAGCTGAATCAGGCGTCGTGATATCCGATCGCTACACGACTCTACGCGTCTGGCGATAGCGGCCATCACAGAGGAAGGGGTTCGATGTTCTAGACTCTAACATATTATTGCAATTGCGACGCGGCTATTCCGCCGAGTTGTCGGCGACGGGAAAGCAAGCTCTCCGTTAGCATGTACGAGAGAATATTCTCACCGATACTTTTATCTCTCTACCCCTCTTTCTCTTTCTCCGTCTCTATTTTGTATATATAGCTGTCGCGCGGAACTGACAGAAATTGATCGCTGACTGAAACAGGAGAGAAATTGATCGGTGCTTGTTATCATAATCTGATCGGTCTTTAGAACTTTGAGGTGGCCAGTGCGGCGATTATTGACGATTAACATCAAAGGCCGCTTGTTATCGATATGTTATTGTTCTCCAAATAGAAATATCGGCTATTCTGGCGACTTGGCGCATGTGTGAATTCTCCAGATACTTTTCTCTCTCTCTCTCTCTCTCTCTCTCTCTCTCTCTCTATCTCTTTCTCTATTTTGGATATAGTCGTCGCAGAACTAAATGAAATTTATTCCTCACTGAAAAAGGGAACAAAATTGCTACGGTTGTCAGTATAATCCAATTAGTCTTAGATTTGTGTCTCTGAGATGCTGATGAAACAAGTATCAGCATTAAAAGTCCCCTCGTTATCTCTCGACACGTTATCATTCGCTAAATAGAAATATTAAACTCGTCATCGGAACTCATGATCTGCTACGATCTGCTACGGCCGTGCACTTTCTGTGCAGATCGCAACTTTTACCTCGCTCGACAATGTGAAATAAAACACTCATTATCGTCAGCCACAAGGGCGGACTTACTTTTTCAAGTCGGCCAACTTGGGCGCACTCGGGAACAGTGTGCGGGAGGTCCGAAGGAATCCGCCGCGTAATTTTTTTGATTCGTGCTTTCTGCCTGGTAATGCTGCCATACGATGACCCGGTCGTCGGCGGGATCCACGACCCGCGGGGACCCGTACACCCGTCGACAATCGCCGACATGGAGCTCCGAGAGTGAGACAGGGCGAGAGAGAAAAAGAAAGAGAGAGAGGGAGAGAAAGAGAGAGAGAGAGAGAGAGAGAGAGAGAGAGAGAGAGAGAGAGAGAGAGAGAGAGAGAGAGAGAGAGAGAGAGACTGGAACCTTCTCGTCTCTTTTCTCTTGAGCCTCGCGCAAGCAAAGTCCGTAAAAAGGGCGAAAAATAAGACCGGAGCTGAGTATCGCTTGTAAGATTGTTCCGTGTCCCCCCTTCCCTCTCTCTCTCTCTCTGGTCCTCCCTCTCACTCTTTCTCTCATTTCCTTGTCTCGCATCGACACGTAACACTGTTTGTGGCGTCTTCTCTCGGAGGACCAATGTGCGTAGTAATCCGTGGACGGGAGACATTCGAGATTCAAATCCTTCTCTAGCTTCCGACGTGGGCGCGTGATGGGGAGTCGTCCTTAACGCCGGAACATGGAATTAACGTTCTGCCCAAACACAATAGGATTAAGGTGTTATTATGTATCGTCGGATCGAAACTCAATCTTCACTGAGTCGCCCCTCCTGCGGGACGGAATCCATCTCTGCTTCCTTTGTCGCGTTTGTTCCGCCTGCTCTGAGACAAAACTCGAGGATTCAAGTCGAGGATTAATCTCCCTTGAACGGGGACAGATTTCCGCATGGAAATCCTCCAAGGATTTCCCAGGTATCGTGCAAAGTCCGGTGTGATTTTCGTGTTTTTTCCAGTCTCGCTTTTTCCAGTTAGCAACTTGGTCGATGCGCCTTTAGTGATATCAAATCAGGGAACTCCATTTTTATATCACAACTGGTGTATAAAATAGAATAAAAGATAAAAGACTAAAATTCTAATATAAAATGAAATCCAGGGAAGAGATGTTGGGAAAACTTTGGATCGCATTTTTCAAACACGACACTTTCGACTCGAATTTTTGTAAAGCTATCCGATCAGAATCCATTATTTTTCTTGGAAGTTACATACTACTATGATCAAAAAATAAGGTGAATTCATTTATAAAATGAAAAATCTTTATTTATTCTTCCAAATCAATTCCATCGCCTTCAAAGTACACCCCGTCCGACACAATGCACTTATGCCAATGTTTTTTCCAATCCTCGAAACAGTCGGAGAAGTCTTTTTCCGGGATGGCCTTCAATACTTTCTTCGATTCGGCTTTCATCTCCTCAATCGAGTCGAAACGGTGTCCCCGGAGCGGTCTTTAGAGTTTGTTGAATAGCCAGAAGTCGCACGGTGCTAAATCAGGCGAATACGGTGGTTGTGGAACGATATGGGTCGAATTTTTGGCGAAATGTTCTCGAAGAACCAATGCAGTGTGGGACACTATAATGGGTGCATTATCGTGGTGCGAAAACCAAGAATTGTCTGCCCATAATTCTGGCCTCTTGAGGCGAATAGCTTCACGCAAACGACGCATAACACTCAAATAATATTCCTTGTTAACAGTTTGGCCTGGCGGAAGAAATTCATAATGCACAACACCGCGATAATCGAAGAAAACTGTCAACATGACCTTGATTTTTTAGCGACTTTGGCGCGGTTTTTTCGGTCTTGGTTCACCTCTTGCACGATATTCGCTCGATTGGTCGGTTGTTTCCGGGTCGTATGCATAGATCCAAGTCTCATCTCCCGTAATGATGCGTTTCACGACGTCCTGGTAGTCAGAAATCATTGTTTCACAGATGTCAACGCGACTCTTTTTTTCCAAAAAATTGAGTGTTTTTGGAACCAATCGAGATTTGACGCGTTTGAGGCACAAAACATCTTTTAAAATGGATTGGGTTGATCCAAATGAAATGCCCGTAGCATCAGCAAGGCCTTTAATTATCAATCGACGATTTTCGAACAGCAAATCTTTGATTTCCTTGACGTGGCTTTCATCGGTAGATGTCGATGGTCGTCCGGGGCGCTGTTCGTCTTGAACTCGTTCTCGGCCTTCTTTGAAGTCTTTGTACCACTTGTAAACATTTTTTTGCGACATAGCCTTATCACCAAAGGCCTTCTGCAATATTCTTAACGTTTCCGCGGCAGAAGATTCATTCCGCAAACAAAATTTAATGCAAATTCTTTGCTCAACAAAATCAGACATAGTGAAAATCGAAAAACTCACTTACATATGTTTACAAAAACACGTATAGCTCTGCAGCAATTGAATATATTGACATGAAACTCTGCATAGATGTCAAAGACAGTGCTACCAACCCACCAGAAAATAATTTCATGATTTTAAAGTACCCGCGAAGTTTAAATGAAAAATTCACCTTATTTTTTGATCACAGTAGTATACACACACACACACACGTATGAATCTCCATTAAATCCCCGAAAATATTCCATACGGAAATATTCTATGCGGATAGTGTTTATACTGTCACGAAAGCGCAAACAGAGAATCCTATTTTAATATATAAAAAAATTTTCCATATGAAATTTATTTCCCAAATCTCTTCGAGAGAGAATGCAAATAACTCGAAGGAATGTTTTCTTAGAAATTGTCTCACATTTTGCGCGAAATTACTTGGAAGGAACAATTCGAGGCGACAATAATTCGCTCGATTTCAACAGATAGAGCTCGACTCGTCATTCCAGCTTTCGGGCGAAAGTCCACTGAAAAAATTCAGATAAAGAGAGAAAGGGAGAGAGAGAGAGAGAGAGAGAGAGAGAGAGAGAGAGAGAGAGAGAGAGAGAGCCCGACGACGTCCGCGGCAGGATGTGGCGGGGGCTGTGCGCTACTAACGACCACCGGGGTAGTCGCGTGGCGAGCCATAAGACATCCGCCAAACGCACCATGTCCGCTGGCATTCGCAAACACAATCCGCACAAGCCCGGATCCGCGGGGTGCGTCGGATCGGCGACGGCGAGGGGCAGGGGCGAGAGAAACTGGACGAAGGGGACGAGGCTATCGGATCGGATGCACTTTCCATGTTCATGAATATGATAATGGGCTAATGGCCGCCTAGTCGTTGTTTAATTATCGGCCGCGACACTCGGCGACACGGGCGAGCACGGCCGTGCCAAGTCGAGGTAACAACCGACCCCGTTCTCCTCCTCCTCGAGAAGATGCTATTGCTGCTGCTGCTGCTGCTGCTGCTGCTGCTCGTCGTCGCGGAGTGCATCCTTCGGTGCGCGTCCTAGCTGCGAACCTCCTCGTCGCAAGGGCCATTCATCCGATGCGCCCTTGCGTGCGTGCGTGCGTGCGTGCGTGCGTGTGTCGTGTGAAGCAGGCTCGTGTTCGCCGCGGTACACGGCTACCGTTTACAGCGTCGCGGCCGACTGCATAAACGCGCGCGAGCGCGCACAGTATTATTAGAACCGATCCCCGGTGGATTTACACGCGAGAGAGAGAGAGAGAGAGAGAGAGAGCGAACCGATACTTTTTATTAGGCGACGCGGAGGAGTCGAGCCGCTCCGCCTGGGATAGTGCGCGCCGATCTCCGGCCGGCGTATCATTCGAACTAATTAACGCAACGGGCATATTGTATTGGATCCTCCTTGGTTCTCTCTCTCTCTCTCTCTCTCTCTCTCTCTCTCTCTCTCTCGCTCGCTCTCGCTTGCTTCTCGCTTGCGTCTCTCTCGGGGTTAATTAAAACGCAAGAGTCCGGAGTTATACAGGCGGGCACGTACGGGCATTAAACGTGGTAGACACTGAGTCATGAAGGTATATACGACGATACGACTCTCGCGAGGCAATCGCATAGCGGGAGGAAGGGCTGTCGGGGGGAAGAAAGAGAGGGAGAGAGGCGAAGAAATAAACGGCCGTGAAACACGCGCCACTGAAGACCACTTGCTTCTCGACACGAATATCTCTTCTCTAGTCTCCCTCTCTCTCTCTCTCTCTGAGAGCGCTCCTCTCTCGGCAGAGAGAGAGAGAGAGAGAGAGGCAGAGAGAGAGAGAGAGAGAGAGAGAGAGAGAGAGAGAGAGAGAGAGCCTCTCCGCCTCTCGCTCTCGGTCCGCGAGTTATACGTCCTCGCGGTTATCATTGCACCCCGTAGCCGCGCGCGGCGCGGCGCGGCGCGGCGCGGCGCGGCAATAACTTGGCGCAAAGTAAATACGAGGCGTCACGACACACTTGCCGCGGCGCGGCCGGGCCGCGTGCTCTCCAACGTGCTCGCCGTTAGTGAGTCGTTCGCTCGGCGCTTGCTGTTTGCAGAACTTTCGGCGCGAAGTGCGCGAAATGCGGCCGCAGCGTGGGCGCCGGCGACTGGGTGCGAAGGGCCCGCGAGAGAGTTTATCACTTGGCCTGCTTCGCCTGCGACGCCTGTTCGCGTCAGCTGTCGACCGGCGAGCAATTCGCGCTGCTGGACGCGCGACTCCTCTGCAAGGCGCATTACCTCGATGTCGTCGAGGGCAACAACACCTCGTCCGATGGTGAGAGAACGTCTCGCGCGCTCGGGCGCACACGGAGCCGCGCTGTCTCCTTGTCGGTATGGACGATACGGCTGTGTCTTCCTATGGTTACACGGGGATCGCGAGGCGCCGCGGCGCGGCCGCCGGGAAGGTGGGGGCACGGCTAATTGGTACTTTCGCAGAAGGCGGTGACTCCGAGAGCGGCCACAAGGGCGGTAACAAGGCGAAGAGGGTCAGGACCACCTTCACCGAGGAGCAGCTCTCGGTGCTTCAGGCGAATTTCCAACTGGACAGTAACCCCGACGGCCAAGACCTCGAGAGGATAGCGCATGTCACCGGGCTCAGCAAGAGAGTCACGCAAGTCTGGTTTCAGAATTCCCGCGCGCGGCAGAAGAAGCACCTGCACACGGGCAAGATGAAAGGACCCCACGGTAAGACTTGTCCACTTGTTGTCGCGTTGCACCGATCGAGCGTTATGTGCATTGCTTCTTTTCTCCGAACGCTACCCCGCCTCTACCTCTCCCTCCTTCCGATAAAATCACTGATATGAGAAACCTGATTCGTCGTTATCAGGCCGCGCATGATCAATCTCTCGTTGCATTCGGAGGAAAGTTGTCGCGACCCCTGAATCGTATTGTTGCACGCAGACAAATTTTCCACGTGCGTTTCTCGCTTCTAACCGGTCATCACCGCGGAACCACCACGACGCCTCTTGCGTCCTGAAGATGATGTTCGATTGGATTTTAGATATTAGTGTGTCTCGACGAGCGGATTTCTGTTGCAGTGCATCAATCCCCGCCGAACTCGACCGCGTCGCCCAACGACTTCGGTCGTCATATCAACCTGCACCTGACGTACTCCTTCCAGCAGCAGCACCACCAGCAGCAACAGCAGCCGCAACTCAGCCCGGCCACATGCAAGAGTCCCACGAGCTCCATTTATCATAATCACGGTAAGAGATCGCACGGGACGCGTTCCATAGTGGCGGGCTTCCAAGTAGCGCGTAAGAGACTATATCGGCAGGATTAAGCGGCCCGTCGCGGGAAAAAAACGATCGTTAATCGGGGATCCCAGCGGGACCGGTTACGTTAACTCGCGATTTCGTTAACTCTGTTCTCAGGTTCGGAACAGTCGATGGACGAGCTCTCGCAGGACTCAATGCTGTTGTCCATGCCGAACGAGGTTTAATGACCGCGGCTCGATTCAGCGTATTGTAAATACACACGCATTGCTTTAACGTGAAAAAAGTGTCAAGATAGAGATACACGCCTCGAAGCACAGGTATCGTTTTTATTTGCCCTCAAGGTGGGAGAGAAGCTCCCGCTGTCGCGTTATTACTCTTCGATGACGCGCTTTCAGACCATGCCCGGAGAACGGTAGATCTCTCTCTCTCTCTCCCCCCCCCCCCCCTCTCTCTCTCTCTCTCTCTCGCTGTTGAAGCTTGTTCAAAGCGAGCAGCGAGTGCGCGTATTGTTCCGCGTGTTCCTCGCACCAACAATGTGTGTATTCACAGGCGAGAAAAAAGCCGGCGGATATACAAACGAAGGAGAGCGACGTGTATGTGTGTGCGTGTGCGTGTGTGTGTGTGTGTGTGCGCGCGCGCGCCTGGTGTACCATGTGTGTGTCTGATAGCGCGTGTAACTTCGCAAGGTATATTGAATCGATCTCCCTGTCCTCCTCCTCCTCCTCCTCCTTGTGTTGATAATTTTGTACTCACACATCGCCCCTCTCCCGATTCCCTCTCTCTTTCCTTTGGTCTTGACACACATTGTTCCGGAAAGTCAAAACTTGAGAGTCTGAGAATTTTGATCGTTGAATTTTGAGAGTTGATTCAGAAGGCGGAAGAGTTACAACGCCAAACAATCTCCTGAAATGCGATTTTTCCGAAATAATACATTTCCCGAAAGGTTGGAAAGGTACAAATTAATGAGAATTGTGTCAGTTTTCACGTTTCAAGAAATTTAATAATTTTTCAGGACAATGCGTGCCCATCAGTGCTAAAATTTCTCGAAAACAAGTCAATATCGAAATATCGACATCGGGAATATCTCGAAATTTTCTTGGAAAAACGTTTCTCCCGGCAAGCGAAACAACACATAAAATGCGTTAAACAATTTGAACGCAATCTTTCACGAGCTTTCCGATATTCGAAGAACGATTTTCTAAAAAATATGCTTTTCTCGAAATATTTGATGTTACGACTCTTCGAGAAAATAATAATAATAAACACTTCCAATGTCTTGGAAAAATTAAATTTAATAAGTATCATCTTCGGTGCACCGACTTTTCGGGGAATTATGACAGCTCCCGAATATCAGGATTCTGATTTTTCGGGACGATCGACACGTCCACTTCTCCTCCTCTCTCCCCTTTTGGTAAACGTGAAAGAGAGACAATTACGTGTCTCTCCCGAACGTCATCGGAGACGTAATCCGCGACTTGCGGAGTCGGGAAATTTCGCGTGTCCTGTAGCAATGCTTCAAATGAAAGTATCTTCCGTAGCGTCTCGATAGTCGTGTAAACGTGAAAAGGAACCGACATTTAATATGAATGTACTGTGATGTAAATATTGTAAACTAAACATATACATATATATACATAAATATATATATATCTATATAAAAAAAAAAAAAAACAATTGCACACGTTGAACAAAAAAAGAAAACTAGAAAAAGAGACGATTTCTATTGCATCCGCCCGAAGCGATCCCTCCCCTCGATCTTTCCTTTCCGCGCGACGTTCTCCCCAAGGACGTTGCAATAAATAACCGCGATGTCTCACATATATATATACATATATATATATATATATCGATAGACGATCGGAGGAGCGCAAGAGAGACGGATGGATATGGAGAGTGCGGAGGAGGCGGAGAGGGAAATTATTCCGACGAGATTATATAACGGAAGGCGTTTTATTATAATAACAGCACAATATTGCAGCAACAATTGCGCATGGATATCAAATTCTCGCATCTCTTCTTCCCTCTCTCTCTCTCTCTCTCTTACTCCCCGTTTCTTCCTACGCGTAGTTCGGTATATGTACAAAAGCAAGAACTCACCTATATACAACTTACGTGTAACTTACTTAAAGATCTGTCTATGGCGAAGACTCGCGAACGGAGGGATGTGCGACGACGTAATCAGCCGGAATCGCTCGGAGCTCGAGAGCGACTCCGCGCTTCCTCTCGCATTGTCCTCCGTGTCTCTCCCCGGATGTCTTTCGCGCGGACATCGAATCCGCGTGAACACCGAGTGAAAACCGAGTTGAGCTTGGAATAAATAAGCGTAGCCTAAGGCCCAGTACGCAATTTCCGCGTACTTTTCCGCGCGCTCGCGTTACGTTATCCTTCCTTTTTTCTTTTATCAATATCAAACGCCTTCGCACGCACTCTTTTCTTCTCTTTCTTTATTTGATCTCGGTCGCTATGTACAAAATAGAAGACAGGGGGAGCGGGAGGGGGGGGGATGGTACGAATGATTCGGGGAAGATTCCACACGCATGCACGATGGGTGCATGGAGTCGCCGGACGTGACACGAGCGGCGATCTCGCGGCGAAAGCGCGGATCCTTGCGTCGAATTAGCCCGGGTGGCAGAATTGCGCCTGCAAATGGTTCGGCGTGGTCGGTGTGAGCGGCGTGAGCGGCGTCAGAGGCGTTAATGGACTACCTGGACTCTCGCTGCCGGCGCTACCGGCCTGATAGCCGCCCAGATAAGCGCCGACCACGTTCACTCCGCCGGGGTACAGGTCGACCGGTGCGTGATGTTGTATCGGTGGCGAGTGGTGCACTACGAGCACACGAGAAAGGGCGAATTTGAAAATACGGATAGTCGAGTCGTCGAGGTGAGCTGTGCTTCGTCGAGGGTTTCGTTCGCGAGTTCACCGCGCGAGAAACGCGCGGTGGAAAAAGGAGATCCCGCGAGATGTCTCCTTTTCTCTCCGCGACACTCGAAATTCCCGCTCGAGAAGCCGAGCTGAGGAAATTTCAATTTTCCACTCTGAATCGACCAACGAATTAATATTATCGTATGACTTTGAGGAAAAAAGAATCGAAGAGATAAATACTCCGATTCACTCGCTCGTTATTGGATTCAATTGCTGCTCGACGACTTTCATCAATTGGTGGTAGTCTGTTCGAAATTACTTCGAGTGGAATTACCTCCGCGCTTGGGAGGCAAATCGAGTAAGAATGAAATTTCATCGAAACCGAGAGAGACTTTCCGGCGCAAGTAAACCGCAGGAGAGCTCCGAGCACTCGCCCCGTGTTCCTCGCGCGACAGACGGACAAACGAAGCTGCAGGAGGCCGCGGCCTCCACCGAGCGCGATCGCGCGCCTTAACTTACTCTGCGTCTTAATCTTGCCGCTGTGCTTCTTCTGCCGCGCGCGGGAATTCTGAAACCAGACTTGCGTGACTCGCTTGCTCAGGCCGGTCACTTGAGCGATTCTCTCGAGATCCTGACCGTCGGGATTGCTGTCCAACTGGAAGTTGGCCTGCAACACTGACAGCTGCTCCTCGGTGAAGGTCGTCCTCACGCGCTTCGTCTTGCTGCCCTTGCCGCCGTGCTCGGAGTCGCAGTCCTCCGACGAAGACGTGTTGTTACCCTCGACCACGTCCAGGTAGTGGGCCTTGCAGAGGAGCCGCGCGTCCAACAGCGCGAACTGCTCCCCCGTCGACAACTGACGCGAGCAGGCGTCGCAGGCGAAGCAGGCCAGGTGGTAAATCCTCTCTCTGGCCCTTCGCACCCAGTCGCCGGCGCCGACGCTGCGGCCGCATTTCGCGCATTTCGCGCCGAACGCCCTGTGAACACGAACAACGGCAGAGCCGTACGTATGAGCAAGACGCTGAGACGCCTCTCGCTCTTAGCGTCTTGCTCCGGCAGCGACCCTCTTTTGCGTCGGAGACTAATCAACTGAGTGTCATAATTGTCGATCTAATCTCCGCTCGCCGCCGCGTCCGAATTTCTTCCCGACGCTTCGCGAATGCTCGTGAGTTTATCTCTTCAGGGAGAAGAGCAACCTGAGACGCGACTCGAGCTTCAGGTTATTCGTATCTCGCCGAGTCGCCGACGAAAACAGTCGCCGGGGCCGAGTCGCTTCGAGTCTCGAGCGACTTTCCTGAAGGAAGAAATTCGCCCGGAATCGCCCAGATGAATATCCTTGCTCGAAAAATTGAAGAAATTCCCTCTGATCGATCGATTTACGGTCGATCGGTTTATTTGCACAAATCACACAGAAGGATTTCACCGCCGCTTGAAGAACCACAAACTTTTCTTCAAGTTCAACTTCTTTCAGGCTCAAACCTTTGCTTTATACGTTAAGTCACTTAGCGAGAAATTTCGAGAGGCATGACGCCACTCTTTCTCTTCTTCCCTTCCCTTTTCTCTTCCCTGCCTGATGGGAGCCGCGCGGACACGCATGGACGCTAATAGACGCGATCTCGCGGTGTATCGCGGGTTAGCCGCGGTCACGGAACGAAAGAACTATTTTTATCCCGCCGACGACGGAGAAGATTCATTCACGGTCCCCGGGCGCGCGAGGACCCGGCAGCGTCCTCTTCCTTGTCCTCATTAACATACTACTCAGCCGCGCGATGTCCTTCCGACGAGGCGCGGAGCCTCGGTTTAGGGACCGTATCACGATTCGTGAGGTAGATTACGTCGAGATTATCTCGATGTCTCAGTCGCGCGGCTTCCGATCCCGTACAAATGAAACACGGGCCTCTTTGAGTTCGTGCCGACGGGAACGAGAAGTAGATATCTACGAGGGAGGTCGGCGCGAGAAAGGGAGGAAAAGAGAGAGAGAGAGAGAGAGAGAGAGAGAGAGGCCGAAGAAGAAAGTAGCACGAGATCCAGCGGGAATAACGGTAGGAATCGAAGAAGGGATAGAAGGTGAAATTCAGCAGAGGTTCGCGCAACTTGCACGAGAGTGCGCGAAGTAGAAGAAGAGAAGAAGAAGAGAGAGAGAGAGAGAGAGAGAGAGAGAGGAGAGAAAGGGAGAAGAGGGGACGAAGGAGAGGAAAAGGAGAAAGATAAATAAGAAGTACAAGGGGGATAGGAGAGAGAAGAAGACAGAGAATAAAACAAGGATATAAGAAGAAGAGGAAGAGGGTAGGAACGACGACGACGACGACGACGAAGAAGAAGAAGAAGAAGAAGAAGAAGAAGAAAAAGTAGACGAAGAATGCATCAACGACCGATCGAGCACGACGTTATTGTATGGAAAAATATGGTAAGCTCACGGAGGGATTAGTCTTCGCGTCTGCATAGTCATCGTCGCATGACGCGATGTTTTCGGGATATTATTGGTTATGGTGATCGCGCAAAGGGCACGCCTAGGAGCTAGAGACCTCGGAGAGACCGACGAGCTAGAGGACTCGTCGAGAGGCCCGTTCCCGTCGCAAGGGACACCTGGCGGTTTCCGTTTCACGGCCGCCACGCCGCGGTGCTTCACGAGCGCCGTCCTCTCCGACCGAGCGCGCGAGCTCGATTCCTTTATTTCTCCGATCCATCCAGCCTGCTTCCAGAGGAAAGGTAACTCCACCTGCGCCTGTCGTAATCGCGCGAGTCTACGCGATCCAGTCCTCGGAAGGAGGACCCCGAGGGCCCGAAGGGCTCAGGACGCGCGAGCGAGAGCTCAGCGCCGAGCGACGAGAGTGTCATTTCGAGTAAATAACGGCGCCACCCTTTCTCCCTCCCACCCTCTGTGTAGCCCTTAGTCCTTCCACGTCCGTAGCCGAGTACGAGGACACAACACACACACACACACACACACACGCATGGCAAGGTAGAAGTGGACGAAGCCGGGGGAATCCCGTGTATCCGGCGGCGAGAACTGGTATTGGGTATCTATAAATCTTCAGGGCCGTACGTCGGCTACCAAACGGCCCCGCCCTAATTTATTCATTTGTTCTTCCACATAGGCGGGCCCTATAAGTCAACGGGGGATTAAGTTAGGCGCTCGTTCTCGCTCGTCGACCCCGCGCACGATGTATGTACGATCGCGGGGATCCGAGTGCGAGAGCACCACGACGGAGAATCGCGCACGTATCAGCGAGCGCGGTTAATTACGTCGTCTCGGTAGCGCGGATCACGGGTCTCGCAGGACGCGAGGTTATCGCAGTTTTATCGTACACAGCGACTGTGTGTGTAAAGGCCTTCGCATACGAATTGCTGATTACGGCCATTTGCCGCGAAAAATGCGAGAAAGCCTCATTTCTTGTTAAACCCGATCGGCGATGGCTGTCATAATAAACGTCATTAACACATTTAGACGTATTAAATTATAAATTAATTTACAACGTGGCTGAAATGCCACAGCAGACAGAGCGATTGAAAAGCCGCTCTCACGGCATTTCCAATCGAGACCTGTCCTTTCGCAAAACTTCCTGGGACTTAAGGAGGAACAGAGGTAGAGCTGCCCTCGAGCTGAGACTCGGTGGAAAAAGAAAGAGGAACGGAGAAGCGCAGAGAGTGCAAAAGCGCGAAGAAAGAGAAAACGGACCAAATCAGTCGCGGGACGTCGTCGCGTCCTAAGCGAGGTGGAGGTGGGGAGGGGGGTAGGGCCGCGATTCTTTCACTCGTTGGCCGAGCGCGGCGCGTCCGTCGGCGCGGGCATCGTGCGGTATGCGGGCCCTTTAAGTGCCCCGGCGCGGCGCGGCGCGGCGCGGCGCGGCGGCGAGCCGGGGACGATAACGTCGCGATTATCGGCGGCAGGTGGTCCCCGCGTTCGCCAGCGCGACCGGGCCCCGCCGCGGCCGCCCGCCTGCTAACATTGACCGCACCGAATCGAGAGAACCGGAATTCCCCGGTCGTTGCGGCTGCCGCGGGTGGCGGGAATTGCGGCACAGGGGGCAGGGGGGTGAGGTGGACGCTAACCGCTAATAGAGCGATTTTTGCCGCGCGCGACACCACGAATCACTTCGACGCCCGAATCTCTTCTCTCTCCCTTTCCTCTCCTTTTTCTCTCTTGCGCGCCCTCCCTTTTCCTTCTTCTTTTTTCGGTCGAATCGCTACGAAAGCGACGAAAGCGGGGAAAGGATTGGGGTGAAGGGGGTGGCGGAGGACGAAGGGGCCCGGCATCGAAGGAGCGTAAAAGTGGCTCTCCGGTCTCTCTCTCTCTCTCTCTCTCTCTCTCTCTCTCTGTCTCGGGGTCGGGTGAATATTTATTAATTTCAAAGACCGCTCCTCTCTCGCTCGCCCTCCCCCTCCCTCCCTCCCTCCCTCCCTCCTTCCCGCGCCTCGCCGGCCTGAAAAGAAGCACCGCGCGGCTCTCGCGCTCGGCTGAAGGAGGGAAGAAGGAACGGTTCGAGGATCGCAGCTGGCTTCGGTGCCTTACGAGGCGAATTCCTCAGTCCTCCGGAACACTGACACTAGGCAGTCCCATCTCGTGACTCGGCACCCACATACACGTACGCGTATATTTGGTATACGGGATCACACGAAGCGCGAAGTAACCCGCTTTCGGGACATTGATAAATTAATGATAGTCCTCCACCACCCCCCTTCTTCCGTCCCCCCGCCCCCCCCCCCTGCGCGCGGACCCCAGCGATTCCCAGGCGGTGACGGAGTGCGGAGCTATCGCCGGTTATCGCTCCGGAGTCGAGAATCGTTGCCTCGCTTGAATCCTTCGGGGTCCTCTGAATCGCGAGGAAGAGAGAGAGAGAGAGAGAGAGAGAGAGAGGGAGAAGAAGAGACGACGGAAAGTCGAAGAAATTCCGCGCGATGAAAGCTCGACGCTTCCAGCGGGCGGATCGATTACACGTGTCTTACATGACGTGTAAGGAGCGGCGCGGGCAGGGACAAAAGCCCCGTGACGAGAGAAGGGGGGAGGGGAGAGCGTGTGAGGAAGATCTCGCGAAAAAGTCAGGCGATATTTATTTTTTTCCGCGCGTCCGCTGTGCGAGACAGTGAGACGTCGAGACGTCAACGTGACTCCGCAGCTCGTGCGTGAGCATGCGTGATACACGAATGCGCGGTGACGTGAATAGCCGGCTATACGTGAGGTCCGCGGAGGAGGAGGAGGAGGAGGAGGAGGAGGAGGAGGAGGAGGAGAAGGAGGAGGAGGAGGAGGAGAAGAAGAAGAAGAAGAAGACGAACAGGCAGACTACATTGGAAGACATTAATCACCCAATGGCGACTCTCTTTCGCGCGCTCGCGCTCGCCTCGGACATCCAATACGCGCGCGTGCGCGCGCTCGCTCTTGCGGATGTCTATCTGCAAAAATACCTATCCGTAATACCCACGCGACGACGGATCGCCACGTGGGACGGCAGGCGGGGCAGGCAGAAGGGGGACGAGGGAGATCGCGGTTCGCGATCGGCGATTCAATCCGCGCCGGTTCGCGCGAAGAACAAAAGATCGCCGCGCGGCGCGGCGCGGCGCGGCGCGGCGAGTCGAATCATTCCGACCAGTCACCGCCAGTGCGCCGTCGCTCGTCGTCGTTTGGCCCGCGGCCGAAGAGAAGGAGGAGGAGGAGGAGGAGGTGGAGGGTGAGATGAGGGCTCGGGAAGAGGAAGAGAAGCGAGCTTCGAAAGCGAGCCCTGCGAGGACCCCGACGACGTCCAGTCGCGCACGGAAGCTTCTCGGTAAGTCGAACCACGTATGAGACGATTTCCCTTCTCCCTCTCCCTCTAGGAGGCGATCCATGTCGGCTGCGGTAGCTGAGAAACGTCTTCTTAAGCCGGACTTTAGTCCAACCCTGATCTCGAATCGCGTCAGCGGGGGGCGCCCGTCGTAAGTTGCCCTCGACGAAGCGAGATATTATATCGGGCTCATCGATAACGGTCGCTTATAATCCCGGATGGACTGGCGCGCGCGCGCGCGCGATAGCGACACGCGGAATGTGGACCGTCTTGTCGTTCGATTCGCTCGCTCTCGCGCGGAGGACAGGTAGCCCCCCGTTGATCGGGCCGGTCACTCCGATCGCAGCTGCGACCAAGTGGTGCCCCCGAGATTCCCGGCGGGCAGTCATCCATCGAATTCTGGATCGATCCTGAACACACTCTGGACAGATCACCCCGGATCAACTCTGGACGGAACCTGATTCGATCCTAGATCGACTCTGAGTCCTCAGTCGATTCTAGATCTACTTTGGACCGATCCTCAATTGATCCTGGATAGACTCTGAACAGACCTCAGATCGAGTCTGGATCGATCCTGGATAAACTCTCGACAGATTTTGGACAGACCTTAGATCGACCCTGGATCGATCTTGGATCAATCTTTTTGATTTCACGTCACAAGCGACCGGCGATGACCTTAATATACCGATGGATTGTTTCAATTTGTTAAAAAGAGAAGAAGAAAAGGAATGAGTTAGGGCACTTGAAGGTAACCGCTTTAAAAGTTAAAGGTTGACTCTTCCGAAGTGAGCAGAATCGCGCTGAGAGTTATTAACTCCGCAACTTCTTCCGCAATTTCTCCGACTCTTCAACTTTTAGCTAACTAGTTCATCTTCCCAACCAACCCCCCACCCCCGCTCGCGGAATCTCTCGGTAGCCGTAGCGTGCACTGCTGCCGCCCGCCGGCGCACAGTGGGGCCGCACTGATAGAAAAGTATAGTTGAATTAACTATCATCTCACTATATTTTGTAGTTCATTTTGGCGTCAACCATATTTTTATAGTTCGTGGAAATATAGTAGAAATATGGTAGAATAAACACAAATATACAGTCAATGATTATCTTAAATAATTGTTTAGTTACTTTTACCACATATATGGTAATTTCTCATTCACGAATATAGTGAGATTTAATATTCATATAGTTACATCTGTCATCATTTAGCTAATATTCTGGTAATATTGACTATATATAAGAGTTACTTTATCTACCATTTTATATTTGTATCCATACAATAATTTTAGTTTACCTTACTATAATTCTTAGTAAAAATGTTATATGGTTGGTTATACTATGCCTATATCGTAATTATTACCGATATTATGGTAATGCTTACTATAAATATGATATTTCGGACTACGGTAGTTTAGTTACTATATCATTATAGTTCCAAATATCATACTAATACTTTTCTCTCAGTGCAGATGATATTCTTTGGTTTCTCTAGAGACCTGAATTTCCAACCGATCATCGACACCAATGAGTGAGGTTGATCCTGAATAAATTCCGAATAGATCTGTCTTGCCAAAATTAAAAAAAAATTTTTTTCTCGAATTACTAGCCCCAAAAGGGGAAAAATTATCGTTAAACGCGAGACACTTGTGAAATACTCATTATTCGACACTTCACTGAGAGAAAAGTATATCATTGGAATTATAATGATATAGTAATTAAATTATAGTCCGAAATATCATATTTATAGTAAGCATTACCATAATATCGGTAATAATTACGATATTGGCATAATATAGCCAACCATATGATATTTTTACTAAGAATTACAGTAAGTTAAACTAAAATTATTGTATGGATACAAATATAAAATGGTAGGTAAAGTAACTCTTTCATATAGTCAATATTACCAGAATATTTGCTAAATGATGACAGATGTAACTATATGAATATTAAATCTCACTATATTTTTGAATGAGGAATTACCATATGGTATGTGGTAAAAGTAACTAAACAATTATTTAAGACAATCATTGACTATAAATTTGTGTTTATTCTACTATATTTTGCAGGTTCCACCAACTATAAAAATATGGTTGACGCCGAAATGAACTATAAAATATAGTCAGATTATAGTTAATTCAACTATATTTTTCTATCAGTGTTATTTCAATCTAATAGCGTATTCAACGGATTGAAATTATGAAACCAATCAACAGACACCTCGAGATTCATCGATCTTGAACCAGAAAGCCATTAACCCAAAACTCTTATGCCGAAAATACAAAAACATCAAATGTAGACCCGTTAGGCACAAAACCGAGGGATTTTGAGGGATCTTAAGCCCATCAACCTAGGAATCTATCAATCCGAGAACTTTTTAGCTCGTGGATGCATAAAGCATCCGTATATATTAAGAGCCCGAAATAGTCCAAGAACCCAATCTAGCCGTAGCTCGAGAACCTAATAATACTCGACGTTGAATATTCAGCTATAAAACATTAAGTTCGAGCCTCGAAACTTTCAAGACAAGCCCTAAATCCATGAACCCTGGAGCCGATAGTTTTTTTCAAAATTTCGACTGGACAGATCTCTTTGGAATTTATTCAGGATCAAGCTCATCCATTGGTGTCGACGATCGGTTGGAAATTCAGGCCTCTAGAGAATTTTGAAGCAAAGGATGTCATCTGGCCGCACTGTGCAGCGGGTGCATTCCGTGCGCACGCACTTCCCACTTACAAGGCGTAGTCGTGTCTGCAGTAGAGCCGCATCCCTCGTAGGAAGCACGAATGCTGATCGTACAGTGGCCTCGAGCAGACGGAGCACTTTAGGCACCTGGAGTGCCAAATACGGCCTCCTACGCACAGGACAGTGCGCTCGCGCACGCTTTCCCCGCAGGCGCCGCAGTCCATCTCCATCCCGTCGTAGTTGTCGCTGCCGTCCTTCTTCACGACGGCGGCGACGCCGTTGTTCTTGAAGCCGGTGGTGTTATTGTTGTTGTTGTTCTTGTTGTTGTTGTTGTTGTTGTTGTTGTTGTTGTTGTTGTTGCTCGAGCACAGACCACCGTCTGTACACTCGGGCTCTGCCTCCATCTCGGTCTGCAAAGCAACAACGACAGAATACCGTATAATGTCCGCTCGTGACGACGATGAAGGTGGCGTTGCTTCGCTCTCTTCGAATGAAATTTGCCCGAAAAAGTCAGTTCCTCGAAGCCGTGAACATTCGCGGCGGATTTTTCATTCGTACGGCTTGCATTAATCCCGTTGCTCGGGACTTCGTGGGGCGAAAATTTTCACCCGAAATTTACGAGTGAATGACGCACGCAGACCGACGTGACGATCTTAGCACGTGGTACAATTCAATTACCGCACCGAGAGAAAAGATACGTAACAAACTAAAATAATATTGTTTAAGTTCTTCTTTACTTAGAGTAGAGAATACCGTGAGGAGAGCTACACGGTTTCACAAAATACGTATATTCTTATTGAAAACAATTTCTTTTTCCGTATGTTGATTCCGTAACCAAATCAATGTCATTAGTACGTGACGAATCAAATATCTTGATTTACCGGCATTTTTTCTGCGGGCCACTTTGTCTCTGGACGTTAACGCGAGGCACGCCACAGATGGCTGCATTGTCGCATCGTTCTTTGAATAATCAACGAGCTGTGCATTAGCAACGCGCATACGATGAAAAAATCCCGCAAAAAATACCGTAGTTGCATTACACGTAGTTTATAACGGCTCGTGTATCTCAGCGTTGCAGCAAAAAAGCTTCGCTCCGGTCGCGAAGCGAGCGTTTGAGAATCAACGCTACGGCTCGCGAGTGTTCAATGCGAGTGTTCCCGGAAAAATCGTGAGAGGAGGGCGCGTTGTTGAACACGTTGGCGGACACGCGAATTCGCGACGTCGGGGTCCCGGTCGGGGTGGAAAGCGGAAGAAGGGCTGAGCCGAGATATCGGCCGCCGATGAAGAGGGGGACGTCCGACCGATCTCCGGAGGCTCCGAATCTCTCTCTCTCTCTCTCTCTCCCTCTCCCTCTCTCTCTCTCTCTCGATTAATACTTGGCAAAGTGAAATAATAGACGACCTGCGCCGCCGCCTCGGAGGCTGCCGGGTCCGGCGCTGATAAACGATCCCTCGTGCCTCGACGACGCATACCGCTTGTATAATTGCCTGCGCGCACCGGCATCGCAACGTCGTGTACGCGAACAGACCGCGCCAGTTAAGCCAGTATCAGAGCAGACATTGGTGATCGGGGATCGCGGACGGAGGATTAGAACATGTCCAATCGAGTCAAAGCGAGTCAAGATCTCGAAATCAGACCCGCGGGATTGTAATCTCTAATCCGCGATCCTTAATCTCCATCCTCACCTGAGGTGCAATCCACCAGACGCGGTTACGGCTCTCGAGGCGGTTTTTACAGACGGGATTAATGACGTCATATTACGCAGCTGGAACGTTTCAAGGTGTCTAATGGATTCTGCTCCTAGTCTGATACGGACATATCGAGAGAAGGTGGTCGCTAGAGAAAGAAGAAGAGAGAGACGATGATGATGATTCCGTCTCTAAAATTATCATCATTCCCGATTCGCTAACGGTTTCATATTTCGTTGCTCTAGCAAAGTAGAATAATACTTATTGAAATTCTTAAATTTTACCGCTACCGCTGTATCGACTATAATTATTTCATTACGCGATTGTATCGTCACAGATGCAACAAAAGATTCTTTCCCTCGGTGTGTCAAAAATGATTTTCTTGATTTTAATAATGATGCAATTGCATGTGTGTAATTATCGTCAGGAGAATATCGAAAAATTTTCCCTGCGTAAAAAACATGTAGCTTTCTGGACTATGATTGTTCCATCGTATAATTAGTACTACAGATAAGAAAAGAATTTTTGTCTGCGAAACATGACTTTCCCGGCCATAATTATTCTATTTGCCTGATTATCGTTATGTAATTGGAGTCACGAGTACCGAACAATTTGATGCGATTACAGTCAAAGATATTAGAAACAAATGTCTTCCCTGACTATAATTATGCAATCATTACAATCACGGGAATCGATCTTCCCTGCACAAACCGACCGCCGCTTTCCTGACCCCAATTGCATAATCCCATTACATAATTGGACGTCACAAAAACGACGTCCTGTCTATAATTACTTTATCACGCGATCAAATATCCCACAAATATCGAACGATCCTCGTCAGTGGTCGGCGATTCCCTTTGGTCGACGATTCTCTGTGCACGCGCCGACAACTATCGGTCAAAGCACTCGACGTGAAATTTACCTTACTCGGCCTCGTCGCCGGGACGATCGGTGCGCGTCTAGCGGATCTGCGTGGAGCCTGCGTTAACCTTTTCTCTGCTGAATCGACTCCCCTTGAGAAAATTATTCAAATATTTGGTAGTCCTACGTTTTTTCGCTCGCTGATTACGAATCTAAAGTGAGACTTGCAAAATTCAAAATGGCGGACTCAATATGACGATCATAATGTACAAAATTAACGAAAATTCCGATTATTACCAAATAATGACCAGGTCGTAATAAGAACATATGATTCTAGACGATGGAACTCGATCGAGCTGGAAAAAATTTATGCGGGAGAATGCTCAATACTGCATATTTATGCTTACTCTAGAAATTAAACATTCATTTTTGAGTAAAATAATATTGATAGTATGGATAAGATGGAGATACAGAATGAAAAAACTAGGAAAGTACAGCTAAAAAGTGCAAGAGAATCAAATTTCGGCCGTTTTTGCAGAAATATTTGTTTATAAAAAAGAAATCTAACCTGCAAAAGAATACTGAAGAAAATATATGTTTTTGTACAACATTAGAAAAATATTTGGTGAAAATTTCAGTGAACTCTACATTCAATACTGTTCGCAACGTAAACGCGATATTTAAAGAAGAAGCGAAGGGAGGCGATTGAATGCCGTCAAGTTAAACAAAAACTGCAATTTAATAAACAAAAGTTTAAATGGCACCCGACAGTTACTCCACCGAAAAGCGCTATTACAAGAAGTGGTACAATAAGTCTCGCCGAAAGTCGAGGAAGAAATCCTTGTCAATTTCGTCTTCTCTTGTCTTCGATGTCTTATCTAACTTATTCCCGATAGACACGGGACTCAGGCCCGTGTATAAGAAATCGCGACTATGCAGAGACAATATACACTCAAACTCAACGTCCGCGATTTTTCTACACGGGAATATCCAATACATAATGTCGAAAACAAGGTCAAGATTCGAATTCTAAGCGAAATTATAATGATACAATAAAGTTTATAGAGCCCAGATATAAACAATTTTAGAAAGCGGCCGAAATCGAAATTCGTTGCGAACAAATACTCTCCGAGGAATCGGTTTTCCCCTAAAAATTTTCCCCCATTTTTTTTCAACTTTAATTTCTTATAAATAATCACAAATAAATAATTATAAATATATATTTCTTATAAATAATCACAAATAAATAATTATAATAAAAGCCTATTGTGGAGTATATTGAACAACTGTTCGGTTATCCGGAAAACTCAAATCCCCGATTAGTTCTTCAAAATTACGTGATTTACAACGCAAAATTGAATTAAGAAAAGGTGGGGAAGGATACTTCCCACTAACAGTGAAAGGGTTAAAACACGCCGGTGTCGCGCATCATCCCGCCGCGATTAATAACGGCCGCTGGTCTAACGGACAGACGGACGCGCAGACAGCGGGGGGGAGGGAGAGGGTGTCGTTGTGACTGGTCGGTGTGATACACTATTTTTCCGCCATCGACGGGCCAGACCGCGCGCGCCATTGTACGCCGCTTGAAGCCGTAGCAGATAAACGCGCGTTATCAGATCGCACACGCACGCGCGCGCGCGCGTTTCCTCGTCGCGGTGTCGCACGCGGCCATCGCCGGCCATTACCTAGGCACTCTGGCCCGATAATATTAATTGACACGCGAGTAATGCACGGAGGTTATTGTGCGCTCCGGGGGGTAATCGATGAGTTAATTACCTCCGCGAACGGCACACTCACCGCGCCCCCTCCAGCCCGGAACCCCCTCGACAGGTTGACCGGATTATGAGCGAGCCGGCGCCTTTTTCTCCTGCGCTTCGTTTAGTAACAAAGGTATACCAGCCGAATGTCTCGAGGTGAGATCTTACGCGGAATGAGAGGAGATTCTCACTAGAGATGTGCGAATCAAGAATTTTTATGTCGAATCGAATCGAATCTACGAAATTTCATTCCAATTCGAATCGAATCGAATCATTAAAAAATTTAACATGACTATTAAACATGCACATAATGATGGAAGATTTTAATATGAAAGGGGATATTGATATTGTAATATCATCTTACAGTAAAATATATATTTAAATATTTTAAGTAATTTATAATTATGTTATTAATTATAAGTTGAGTTAATTACAAGTTAAGGGTTCAAATATACAGGCCCAGATGGCTCGTTTTGTACCTGATGCATGTAAATATAATGCACGTTAATATATTTTATTCGTAATTGAATCTTCGATTCGAAATTTTCGAATTATTCGGATTCGAATCATAGGAATTCGGATTCGAATCGAATCGAATTACATTAGATTCGATTCGATTCGATTCGAATTCGAATAGTCGCACATCTCTAATTCTCTCTCTCTCTCTCTCTCTCCCTCTCTCTCTCTCTCTCTCCTTCTCTCTCCCTCTCTCTCTCTCTCTCTCTCTCTCTCTCTCTCTCTATCACACAGGAACGAGGGTGAAGTCGAACCGAGCGAAAAGTTGCTTGAAGCGCGCACGCTGCCACTCGGAGTCCCAAGAGCGAGTGACTCGCTCGACTTTGAGCGAACTTTTGCTATACGAGTGAATGTGAATCGGTGAACTGAAGCAAATGTCAGTCAGCGATAGTCAGCGGTATCTTCAGATGCACTCTTCAATGTCGAGCGAGCATATTCACTGGATAATTTGCTTCGTACGAGCGAAAAATCGTCTGGCTCTTCTCCTCGAGTGGAATTTCCTCCGGAGACATTTGAAGCGTTGTCTAAACTTCTCGGTGTGTCTAAACTTCTCTCGAAGCGAGTGCGAATTCGCTCGAGCTCTTGTTGAAGATGTCGCAAGAGTAAACCAAGTTTAATCCAACCGTTGAGTGTATTTTTACAACTTGCACGAATGAACGTCTCGATCGATTAGATTAAATTTCCTTCCGTGACGATAGAGCATGTCAAACGTGCTCTTCAATTTCGAGCGAAAACATTCACTCGGCAACTCGGAGTAGAAAATTGTCATTGTGCGAGCAGCGATTCACTCGGGAATTCGAGTGACTCGACGATCAGTGCATTCTTCGCGCGGGATTTCGCCGTGAGCAAATTCACAGAGCAAACGACGCTGAGGAAGGCGCGCTTGATATACTTGCGCGATCCTATAATTACCTTACAGTGGAAGAAAACAACCGTACACGTATATCGTAACTGTATTTTGTTTCCTTTTTCTGCACAACAAAAAGATACAGCTCGGAGGTCAAAGTTGTATGACTACAACTTCGGTAACTGTCAACTGTCCTTTTCTCTGAGACAATCTGTCAATTTCGAAACATTCGCTGACCCTCCAGCAAAGCGCAAGAGTACAGAAATCCTGTTCCCTCCCCCCCCCCACTCTCCGATACAAGCACGCGACAGACGTGTAAACGCGCGCGGAAAAACGCGTAAACGTCTGGTCAGGCATCCGACATCTGGGAAGCCGAGGAGAAGAGGGCGAAGACGGCGACGACGTCGAGGTCGAAGACGATGAGGACGCGACGACGGCCAATTTTGAGAGAATCCTTCCGCCTCTTCCGTCTTCTCGTCCTCTCCGTTACGACTTCGTCCTCCACGGCGCGGCGCGGCGCGGCGCGGCGCGGCGCGGCGCGGCGCGGCCGGTGCGGTGTAATCATTTCACGTACGACCGGACAGCTATTGATTTATGACTCGCCGAAGGCGAAGCTGAACTTCCCACTTGTGTGATTTATGCCTTCTGGCTTTCCTCTGTCTTCCCTCGCGTGTGTGGAAATCACCGTCGTTCGTTCGTTCGTTCGTCCGCTCGCTCGCTCCTTAACGCATACCGTCGCGCCGCGCCGCGCCGCGCGCGCGATACCTCGATTTATTAACACCGTCGTGCGACGTGATGAGTTCCAAGTGTCGGACGAAAAGCTCTCGAGAGCTACGGGAGCTCTCTCGAAAGAACGTGCGCGCCGCGTACGGTCGCAGCTGGCCCGGCCGGAAAAATCGCTGAAAGGACGTTACGCGCGCGCGCGCGCGCGCGCGGACGCCCGTGTGCGGTTTTAGCGTTGATCAAGATGGATCTACGCGAATTCCATCCGCTCGCTCGCTGACTCGCGTGTGAACGTTGATTAACACAATTAACAGGGCGCGTGTGACGCGCTGTATACGCGGTGGCATGCGAGTCCTTAACAAGGAAGCGCGCGACGATCGAGACGACAGATCCCGCGCGTATTCTACGGAGCGAACTCTTTTCCGTCTCCCTTCCCAGCCCTCCTCAAGCCCCGACGTTTCTTTTTTCCACTCCTGCTTCTGTGTCTCTGTTCGTCGTGTTTTTCTCTTCGTCTCGCCGGGCGTTAATGAGCGAATAACGACGTAACGCCGCCTGTTACGCAGGAATTCCGCGCGCACAATGCGGCGGGGGGAGTCGCCGGGCCGAGTGGCGTTCTCATTGTGCTCGCTGAAAAGTTCTACACGCTCGCACCACCCCCGCGCGCCAACCCTCTGCGCGGACCCCGCGAGTTTTGGGCTTCGCAGCGGCCCTAACCTGACCGCGAGCGCGGTCGAGTCCGGCTAATGAAAAGTTCACCTGTTTGTTTCTCAAAGAGGAACTCTTGAGAGAGAAGAAATCGTTCGTTTCTGCGAGCTTTCTTTTTCAAACAGCAACAAAATAGTCTCACTGTGCGATCCTAGCCACAAATGCCTGGTATTTTTCTCCCTATAGTGGAGAAAATTCCGTAATTATTTATCCTTCCTCCGTAGCATGTCCTTAATTAGTGCTATCCATCTAGCGGCACAATTCAACGTACCCAAGTACGTCCCATCTTCGCCCCAATCATTGAATGTGGAAGAGCGAATAATACTTGTGTCGACTTGTGTGTACTAGATGAAGACTTGGCGAGTTCTCAACGTTAGCAACGTTAGCAACACTGCTGTAGCGTTTCGCACAAAAATGGGGGTCTCGATCACAGCTATTTCCGAGCGAATTACAAGTACGGCCAATACCCTTATCTCGATGTAGTAACATATGCGATCGCGCGCGCCACTTGAGAATTAATCGATCGCCAAACGCCAGACGTTATCGGCGCGAGAACTCAGAGAGAGAGAGAGAGAGAGAAAGACCCGCGTAACGCTCCACCACATACGCCCCCTGTTATCCCCTCTGTGCGAGAAAAGATTAAGATCTGCCAAAATTCTCCCACGCAAATTCAAACTGACGAGTATTCCATTTCCTCGCCCGTTGCTCGTTTTGGGGCCTTTGCTTTCTGCAATCAGCGAGAGCTATAAGAAAGAATAATAGGCGCCATTTTTTATTCGTCAACGAGCCGGGCCCAGGCCGATGTAGATGAGCTGACAAAGTGAGAAATGCGGAGATGAAGAAGCGGAGTCCGGAGCGGCCGGCTGCGGCGGCCGAAACGCGCCGGACTACCGGATGTATCGGCAATAAGCTACCGGACCTCCTTCCTGCGGGAGTCCTTGCCGAGCCACCTCGGCAAGAGCTGGGCAGTGTCCTTTGGGAAAGCAGTGTCCTCTGGCGAACACGATTTTCGCGCGATTTTTATGTAGCAAGCTGTAGGCTTCTCCCTTGAAACCCGAAGAATGACGTAATTTCCGACTAGAAGAAGCGATCCTCTCCCGCTACTACCTGCAGTCATAATCCTTAAGCTTTAAGCGAGCTGGTCAGATTCCAGCTGTCAAAGAGTGAGAAATGGTTCTCCTCTTTTCAAGAATTATAGGACTTGGAACAAAAAGGTAAAGGCTTACTCGTATTCGGGATCCATTGTGGACCGGGCCTAAGGAGATGCCCAAAACGTGTGTAAAACTTGCTTGAACGCGTCATCTAAATATTGCGTCTTCCTCGTAGCTACTCCACTATGAGCGCTACACTGAGAGAAGAAATGGAAAATGAAAGAAATCATACCAAAAGTTGTAGCGATCTAGTCTCGGTTCTACTGAACGTGGTATATCCTCTTCTGGTTCTAATCAAAAAGCAGCGGTAGGGCGATGTGCACGTGCGCGGTTGTGCTGATCAACACTGTGTGTGTGTGTGTGCGTGTGTGTGTTAGTAGTAACAAGTCCGAACCACACCGACGAAACGGTATTCGTCACTGGGACCGCAAAGGTTTGTAACTGCACTAACTGCACCAACTCGTACTACTTCTCTATATCCTTCTTTTTCTTTATGACCAAGTCACGTGCTTCATACGTCATACCTCATACCCGCCCCTTTTTAAGTTTCAAAAGTGTGCGTGATTGTGATCCAGCCACGTGTCAACATCACGCAACGCGTTAATATGACGCGCAACGACGGGAAGACACGGGAAAACTAAACAGAAGAGCATGGTGCCGGTGCCGGGGATGACAACAGCCTTGGCTTGGAAATTAATCATCCCCAAGGTATTTCGTCGAGGGTTAAGTTGGTCCCAAAGATCACTCAAGGTCACGCATATCGTTCGGGAGACATATCTGTGTGTGTGTGTGTGTGTGTGTGTGTGTGTGTGTCTGTCCCAAAGAGGGACGGGCGTTTTTGGTATTCCTTTCTCGTTTCCCTCTGAAGAAAGAATGCACAAAAGACAGACAAGATAACTCCAGTTCAGCCTGCTCTTGCCTCCTCTGTCTCTCTATAAAGGACGACTCACCACGGTCGGTTACCGTGGTGAAAAAAAATGCGTCTCTTCCCTTCGAAGAGAAATTTTTCTTGCAGCTCGCGCTGCCCTCTCGGAAATTCGAAAGAGCGAGTGTGACTTCCGGGCTGCTTTAACCGCGTTAATTCGCTTCGTTCAGACTGCGCATCGCACCGCAGTCACACAAGCCATCAGCCAGACAGCTACGGAGCACGAGGCCCGTCGGCAAGAGGATGACGGTGAGGGATGACTAACCTTCATATTCGCACTGTCTCGGTTAATCCCAGTGGCGCACGATCACGTGCTTCTTCTCTTCCTCATCTCGACTCGATCAGACTTCACTCGGCCGGCGCGGCTCACACGCGCCGTCGTCTCTCCAGCGTCCCTCTTCCACCCCCGCGCCCTCTTCGCCCATGTACCAGCGAGCCCGGCGTGAGTAGCGCGATCTCTCCAGCAAGCCTCGTGCCGCCGCCACCACCACCACCAACTCACCGCGACCTCTGCGACCCGAAGTAGCCGAGAGCGCGTTTCCGGTCGTCAGTAGTCATTCGTTGGCGCGAGTGCGCGACGGCGGACCCAGCACGGCTCTCGCAGACAATCGAGCGACATCCTACTCGGGCCCGTGCTCGGAGAAAACTGGCAGCCTCGGCTCTGCCCCCTACCACGAGCCCCGCGGATGGTGGCAGGGTTGGGCCAACGGCACCGGCACACGCACTGGGTGCCCAGGATGCGTGGGGATGGATGGGCGCTCGCATACACTCCCGCGGCCGCCGCCAGCTCCCGGCGATGACAACAAGCACGGTGCCGGCGGCTGCTCCCCTACGAGTCGCCATCTCCGGCTCGTCGACTCATCCCAGCCTGTCCTCCAGCGTTGCACCAGCTTCGTGACCCAGCGGCTCTCTCGCGTTTTGCCCATCCAGGCTCAGCTACATGTATCTGATTCTTTCGCAGCTTTGAAGGTGTGCACTGCCTCAGCGATGAGGAGCAGACCTGGAGTCTGGGCCGGTCACCCGCGGAGGGCACCTTGATACCTCCGGAGTCATCGGAACTGTCGTACTAGACCTGGGTACACCTTCACCTTCATGTACCACACACACACACACACACACACACACACACACATGCCATGCGCGCGCACGACAGTGTGGCGAGACTCACACTGCTCGCGCACATTACGTGTCGATTCAGGGGGTCGCGGGGCAGGTAGGCGATAATAGGTAGCACGGAGAGGATCGGAAGACTTGGCCGGGACAGAGTTTGGGGTGAGCGACGGAGAAGCTCCGCCCATGGTGCCCGCCCATGGCTCCCTTGAACGAGCTGCGAGGACGCGCGCGTGTGGACGTGTGTACGCGTCTGTCCCTGTGTGGTGCACGGGTACACACTCGCGCACCGGGAAGAGGGGGGGGGGGTGCCTTATTGTCGACGGCCAAACTGCCGAATGGAATTTCAGCGGTGATTCGCAAACTCCCCGAGCCCGAGTCTTTGCGCAAACTTCGTTTGCAAGTCCTGGGCACACCCGAAAGATCGGCGGCGTCCTCCGGTCGAGGAAAAAGCGCGAGCGCGCTTTTATCGAACCGCCCACGCCGCCGCCGCCGTCGCCGTCGCTGTGTGTATATCGCGCATCCGTCGCGCACGAACAGTGTCGCTCGAAATTACCTCATTGCACCGTGGAACTCGCCCCGATCGTGCCGCCCCCCCTCCCCTCCCCTCTTCCTGCTCCGTGCTTGCCGCTGGAAACGGCTTGCCAGGAAACGTCGTGCAACGTCGCGCTAATTTTTTACACAACTTGCACGCATGTGCGAGAGAGCGGGAGGGCGGGGGGTGAAACAAACTCCACTTTTTCTCCCCGTCCTTCCCCTGACGAAAATTTAGGTATTCGAGGAAGCCCGAACACACCTGTTTGCATTTTCATCGAGTCTAATGCCCGCACTCCGACGCCGTAAATCATCCCCGAGTGGACCGGCGACTTTTATCACTGCCGTCCTTTCTCCCTCTCCGCCCTCCCCCTCTCTCTCTCTCTCTCTCTCTCTCTCTCTCTCGCCCGGACTATTTCCACCTTTCTACATACGCTCGTTCGGCGTGTTCGACCGTCGCAACCACACACACATACACACACGCACACACACAGACACACGTGTGTGCATTCACGATGCTGTTCGACCTGGCCCCTGGCGGGTGCACGGCACCCACGCCCACGCCCGAAATGAATATGAATTTCTCGCGTCGTGGAAAACTGTCAAACGAGTTCTCGGCTCGCCTGTCGCCCGTGTGTTTTATTGCCGGCCGACGCGCGCGCGGTCCGTGAAATGCGTCGCTCCGCTTCCCGAAGACACCTCGCCTAGAGCGGCTCCGCTCCGGAGAAGACGGCCCGATCGCACGGACGCGTCTCTGTCACTCTGTGTGTTGTTCATAGTGTTTCGCCTGGCTCAGGACTAAGCAGCCGCACCCCCCTCCTCGCTTTCTCTCTCTCTCTCTCTCTCTCTCTCTCTCTCTCTCTCTCTCTCTCTCTCTCTCTCTCTCTCTCTATCTATCTATCTATCTATCTATCTCTCTGTTCTCTCCTCTCTCCCACCTAGGTTTTGATCCTGTTTTCGGCCTCGATATTCCATTTCACGCCAATTTTGTGCTCTGTGAAGCCGGTACTAACTTACTACTCGATTCTGTTTAACTTGTAACTTCCCCGAGAAGTCCTTCTGAGAGCCTGCGAGTGGCGAATTGTGTGTCTTCCGCCGTTTAGAGCGTTGAGTAGCGCGTTTCAATGCCCGCATCAATTAGATTTTATCAATCTAATCGGATGAAATGTCCATTTGTCCTCGAAAATGAGTGTTCAGGCGACTTCAGATTAGAAATGGGACTAAAATTTCGGCTCGAAGCCTTTCTCCAAGTGTCTCACGAAAATCAAATCAGCTTCTCTCGTAAACACGATTATAAGATGTACGTTGGATGTCTTTAATATCCTCATGTATGACACGATTTTCATGCTTAGTGAAAATTCGAAATGCTGTACACCTGAGATATCGCATTTATCCGAAGGAGGCCGCTTCCGTTTGGCACGTCCGTCGAGAAACTTGCGGCGCCGCGACGCTCTCGCGTTCATCTTCGCCGAGTGGAAGAGAGAGAGAGAGAGAGAGAGAGAGAGAGAGAGAGAGAGAGAGAGAGAGAGAGAGAGAGAGGCTGACGCGGCGCCTTTTATTTATTAACTGGGTAAGTAAGCGCGCATAACCACGTAAATTTACCTCCGTACAGGCTCTCTCCTGCGGCCGAACGGCTCGCGCGCGCAGCGAACGGTTCGTGTTGCCTCGTGAACGAGCCATTAGTAACGCTTACCCGGTATAAAGCGAGAAAAATGGCGGTCGAATTATTCCGGTGGCGGAGCCAACTGTGAACAAAGGTCCTCGGTCGCGCGAGGAGCTCGGAGGATCCTCCCGTGGCAGACCGCGGGGTTCCACCCCGGTGCCGAACAAATCGAAGGCGACAACGCGCCCTCTTCCCGCGGCATTCACGAGTGCCGTCCGTGCGAGCCCATTAATCGATACGATCGAGAGTCCCGTCGACGGTCGCCGAGAAATATACCGTAGCGCGCGAGCGCGCGATGCGCTCTACGGTCCCGCGTATATCTCTTAACGGTACGGCAAAAAATTGCATAATTAATCACGCGTCTTAGGAGGGTGCCGCGCGCGCTCGACTCGCGCGGCCGCTTGACGGTATCGACGGTCTCGCGCCGCGCGGCACTCCGCGCGCGAATGTCGCCATTAAGCGAGGATACGGAGATGCCTGACGTACTTAGACGACGAATCGGATTCCCTAAATCTCTTGGGATTTCACCACAGACTTCTACTATATACGTAGTATATGTACGTAGGCAGACTGAAAAGTTCTCGGCCTAACAGTGAAAGAAAACTTTCTTTTGCCGTGAAATATGTTGTATTTTTCAATATAATCTCCTGAAACTTCAATACATTTATTCCAACGTTTTTCCAATAATTCAATACCATTATTAAAGCGTGATTCCGGAAGGCCTGCAAAATATCCATCCGCGGCCGCAATAGCTTCGTCATTTGATGTAAAACGCTTCCCAGCCAGGAATTTTTTCAGGTTTGGAAACAGATAATAGTCAGAGGGAGGGCCAAGTCTGGTGAATACGCTGGACGTTCAAGCAATTCGTACTTTAATTCGTTGAATTTTGCCATTGTCAAAACACTTGTGTGAACACGTGCATTGTCTTGATGGAAAACGATTCTTTTCTTCTTTAAAGCAGGTCTTTTCTCACGAATTTTTGCGTCCAATAGATCCAGAAAAGGTTACAATAATATTCAGAGTTAATCGTTTTATCTTTCTGAAGATAATTCTGAAGATAAAACACCTTTGTAATCCCAAGAAAACTGTTGCTATAACCTTTCCTGCTGATGGAACCGTCTTTGCCTTCTTTGGTGCACGTCCACTGGTGCTTCAATCCATTGTTTCGACTGTTCTTTTCGCTCTGGTATATAGTGGTGGATCCAAGTTTCATCAACAGTTATGAAACGACACTTGAAATCCATTTTCTGTTTTGCTTAAAACGATCCAAACACGCTTGAGAAATACGCGTTCGAATGCGTTTTTGGTCAATTGTTAGCAAATGCGGCACCCATCTTGCACGAAGCTTTTTCATACATAATTGGACTTGTTGAATGAATGTTTTGTGGTGTTGTAGCAGTTTTTGCCGACAACCTTCGCGTGGATCATCTTCGAGGCTTGTACGACCAGATTTAAAAAGAGCAGCCCATTTTTTCACACTGGAAAGTGAAGGTGATGCATCCTTATACACTTTTAACAATTTCGGATGAATTTCTGTTGGTGTTAAACCATCCGAAACAAAGAATTTAATCACTGCACGATATTCAATTTTTTCCATCTTAAAAAAGACAATGACACGTCAATATTAAACTGGTGCTACTACTCGAATGACTTGACAGATCGAAATGAAATTTTACATGGGTTTATATCAGGGATGCCACTTTCCAATACAATTACAGTTTGACAGTTTCTAATGCCATCTATGTGTCAGGCCGAGAACTTTTCAGACTGCCCTCGTATAAGCTAGACTGAGAACTTCCATTGGTTTCCATCGGTTTTCAAAAGCGTCCCTTATGTCAAATATAGAATCGTGCGCACATGCGCACTGCAAAGTCCCGAAAGGAATGTAGCTGCACCGTAGAGACATTTTTGCTTCAGAAAATAGTAATATATTTAACCAGGAAATATTAATATTTATACAAAACATTGAATGCGTCATTGAATGTGACATGTGCAAGAGGAAATATTAAATATTGGATAAATATTAACATTTTCTAGAGCGAAAATGCCGGTGCACGGTGCAGTTACATTCTTTTAGGGACCTTGCGATGCGCATGCGCGAAATTTTAACACGTACTTTTAGGGAACGTGTTGAAGAGACCAGTTATCGGTCTAGTGTATATAGAAGTCTGTGGATTTCGCACGGAGAGTAGAGTGATCAACAGCCGCATGGATTCTCGAGAGAGACTTCTCGCTTGTTCGAGAGCTCTGCGAGAGAGTTCTGCGTTCTGCGATCGTCGAGTGAATATTTTCACTCGAAATCGAAGAGTGATCGTCGAACGTGTTCCTCTTTCGCCGGACGACGATAATCGCTCCGATCGAGCGAATCCGCTCGATCGACTTGAGTGAAACATTCGTCTCTTGATTTCAAGTGGCGATATTTTTTTTCACTGTCGCCTTGATGAATGAAGATACTGCTGCTTTTCGTGCGTTTTCACTCCGAAAGGATTCAGAGAGAGAGAGAGAGAGAGAGAGAGAGAGAGAGAGAGAGAGAGAGGGAGAGAGAGAGAGAGAGAGAGAGAGAGAGAGAGAGTGCCTTGATTGGAATGTGCGCCAACGCTGCAAATCCGAGCGAGTTATTTTGACACGCGTAAGCGTGTCAAATTGGCTAAGGCTCTCTTCAAGGCGTCTCTTCTCGTCTTCTGAATCGCGCTGTTTAATACGTTTGAACATGTTAAATGATGCTTAAGCGAATTAAACGGCGCGATTTAAGACG